AGAACGAAGAGGATATGTGGCTTACATACAACCTAGTCCAAATTGGTGACAAATTGCGCTGTTCCACCGTACGAAAAGTTCAAAACGAATCGGCCACCGGGAGTGTGCAAACCAAACAAGTACGCACGAACCTCACGATAGAAATAGAGAAAATCGACTTTGATTTGCAGGTAAGTTTCCATCCGCATCACAGTTCATTGTTTTACGTTTTCTTTCATTCCTGCGATTGACAGCGAACCTTGTATCGTAACAAGTTAAAGACTTTGGATCCCCTGATTTTCACCAATCCAGTAACATCAAGAAAGACCCAGCTACTTCCAGCCGCAGCAATTGGTCCAAATTCTTTCCCCCCCCCACTATTGTTGTAGAGATTGTGGGGGTAAATTAAGTTTTCTCTTATACACTGCCCGTTTTGTACCCTACCTCACTATTCTCGGGTGAACTTGAAGCCTAGTTGCCTTTTTTGTATTTCCGGTTTGTCTAACACTTTGAGAGAAGTGACCGTTTCGGGTTTTCTAAACTTGACCTCTTTTATTGTATTCCGCCGTGGTTGCGGTATTATGGACAGATTGAAAGTTTGCAATCTGTTGAAAGTTAGTTGCGGACTTCGAATTCTCACTTCCTGGCATTCTGTTGGTCTCAGATGGTCTGCATAGCATATGTGGCTATTCGACCGAATGTAGACTTTTCAAGCGCAGCTCCTCGTTTTTGCAGCATTCTTCCAAACATCCAGCGGAAACAGTCGTTTCCGTAATCTCGTAGTTACACCACTTGACCTGGCGGCGAACGAACCTTGAAAACTCCCGTGTCACCGGTCCAATTCTACCTCCATGTTCCGGTTTCTTTTCACGTAGTGGCTAGCTGGGCACATTAGGTCGAACGACATTCGTAACTTTCTGTAGATCAATGTTTCTGCTCCGGAAGCTACGTTAATCATTATCATCATCGTTTAGCTAAATACAGAGAGGTGTTCTTCGCTGATCGCTGCCAAGCTCACAATGTACACTGAGTAAGCGAAAATGTACAAGGTGATTAAGGATTCAGCCCATGTGAACGGAGGCAAAGAAAATGAATCTCTTTGATCAACACTCGGAGTGAACAACCCAGCTGTACATGTGTACCTTTTCAAGCATTCTGCCACAAGAGCGCCAATGCTGTCGGTTAGTTGCCATATCCATCAGTGTCTTTAACCAACCACTTTTGGACCCAAAACTGAAGAACGAGAGACCATTTCTTCATGTTTACATTGAGCGAGTGCGAATTTGGAGCGTTTCAATAGAGAAACAGGGATTTTTCGATGCATTCTGGAGTCGCTATCTACTCTCTTGGTTTCTGGATTGCCTGCTCGCTTGGAGGTATCCACAAATCTCTGCGCTTGGCTTTTCGGCTGTGAATAGGACTGTAGGGTGGGAGGTTGTGTGGTTGATGCCACTCTACTCACAAAATCCTCTAACCGTCCGAATTCGAACACAGAGTGCTCTTGTTGTCAGTCTGCTTCACAAGACAGCTTAATTGACTGAAAAGCTGGCCGGGGCTTTGTAATTGTTGAGAGTGACGTGCTTCCCATCCGGAAGACCTCGGACTATTTTCCTACTGTCTTTATGGATCGGGATCTTCAAGGGTAATATGTATACGTGTCTAGATTGTGCCGAGAACTGGCCAACTGCGGAGCTTAGGTTATTCGAAGTAAAACCGCATCGGTAACAACATCAGACTAGTTCTTTCATCCATTTTTCGGTTTGCGTATATTATATATATATCACACTTGTCTGCGGCCAGACTGTGTGCCAAGCAACTCAGCTGCGTTTGTAACGCAACCCACATTGGCCGAACGGCGAGGCAGCTGTGTCAACATATTAAAGAGCACTGTCCACGCTGGCTTCAACACGGTGTAAAAGGTGTCGCAGGAAACGCTATCCTCGCTCACCTAGCAGACTCAGGTCACCAAGGTAAGCCTGAATCAGCCTTCAAAGTCATCTATCGAGTACCACCTCACCCATCCAAGTCGCTGTGGAAGGGATGTTCATTCGTTTATTGAAATCCAATCTATGGGCACAAAAGAGATTGGCCCATACTATTCAACTACCTTGGCCAAAGATCGATCGCACGGATGACGCATCACAGTTTGACTGCAGTGTTGTGGCGATCTAGGGGCGTGAAACACGTCGCATCACCCCCACCCCTCATTTCTCTCCCTTTCAATCAATCACCGTGACTCTTGAATGATTATCCCCGTTCAAAATGCCATTTTCCTATTTGATCTGTACAGGCCAGAAGATGAATCATTGAAGAGAATCCTCTAAATGTGTGTTCTCATAGTACAATAGTCTTTATAAAAAGGCAAACATCAGGGCTTTCATTCCGTTTATTCTTGTATGTTCCATGTATGATCGCTGTTGTCCGTGTAGCGTTTTTGGACCAAAATGCAATCGATAATTATATTTCTTGAAGAGAATTTGTCGTGTATAGAACAAATGTAGGTCTCATCAGCAGTTGCACTCCATCGACCCGACTGGGGTTCGAACCCGGGATCTCACAGGAAGAACGCAAACCTGCTACCTACTCAGCCACCGGACAGCTACGCAGACTGTTTTTCATTTACGCGATATAGCACAACCCATCTTTACGAGCTTGTTGCAGGTTCGATCCCCAGTGGGTTCGACGGATTCGCACTGCTTATCCAACCCGGTCGAAACAGCTGGGCTTCCTAAGTTTTCAGTTCATGCCTCATTTGCTGTATACTCGACGAATTCCTTCTATTAAATTGAATCAAATCCTCCATAAATCACATGCAATAATATTTCTGTTAGAGAAATTGAACGAGTGCAGTCAGTTTGAATTGACGGTTGTCGAGTATCTGGTGAAACCTCTTCATGACTAAAGTGATGCACTTCCATTTTACTCTAGCTTTAGTCGCACCTTGTTAAACATATTTATTTATTCATTCATTTGTTCTTCAAAAACCTTTAATCCGCGACACGGGGGCGTAGTTTTAATGAATATACTGCTCATTGCGGTCTATTTATGAATTGAAGCGATCGTTTCAAACAAGGTTTTGTTGGTTAGACGCTACCAGAGTTTTTAGGATCCTGCATTTGTCATTCACCTGGGGAGTAGTGAAACGAATTCATAGCTGGACTATTACACATTGAATCCCTAATTTGACTCTCAGGAATTAAATTATCCACAGAACAAGTCCGAAAGATGTTGCTTTAAGAATTAAGACTCGGTACATTTTCGAACGTCCCAGTCCTTTTCATCTCAACCGTTTTCCCCTTCAATGGGACTTTGAAACACACCGTTTCTTGAATGGGGTTATTAATCAGTCGTTTCGGTCGTGTGTATCAAGTTCAGTTTGCTTGTGAAATGAATCTGCCGTATTGAGGTTTCGTTTTCTACCGATTACCAAACGCGGTCATTGTTCTCACTCGGTGATGAATGATCATGAGGTAAGTTTTGCCATTTGCAACCAAGTGCGTTCCTTATTCCCCGGTTTGGGCGGAACTGTTCAACAAGGTGCGCTAATTTGACTGACTCAAACAGTACACAGTTTTGATGTGCGTGTTCGTCTGATCCAGTCAGTTACCAGGACCAATAATAATCTGTGACGAGTAAAACGGCCATCGAGTTCTTTAAAAGAACCCAACCAACCAGCTCTAGGTTCTTTCAATTCCCGGTTGTAAGACTTTAGATATCTATTCTACCCAATCAGGGTTGTCTCTTATCCTACACATTTTATTCTGGAACTGTGACTATAAACCAATCGGTCAATTCGATTCTTTTTTTTAATTTCAATCAACGACATATTTTAGCGGAAACATTGATTCTCTCGTTCCATTTCGTGGTAGGAAAATTACCAAGTTGAACTTCACTGACCTTCCAAGTAAGATTGAATGGACAGTTCTACACGGCCAGTCTCGGAACAACAAAAACAACAATGGTAACAACGACATCCGATAACCAGTTCTGCTGCGGCATTGAACTTTAAAAATGAAAAGCGTGTGCCCAGTAACCCGTGTTTTTATCGCATGAAAAAACCAAAGTACAGTGTGTACAGCTATCGGCGTCGATACGAAAAAATTCAGTTTAGCAATTTGCACTGGTTTATGATCGGATCTAAAGCTCAGTATGTGCATTCCCGATTTTCTGATCAGAATTATGTAATCGTATTATCATATTATATTTCACACTCGTCTGAGTACAGACTGTGTGCCAAGCAAAATAAAAACGCTCCATGATTGGCTTGTGGACTGAATACTTCCAGGTTGCCCAGGCCAAGGCAGGTGAATTTTCTTGAGGAATCCACAACCGGAGCCCTTGGCTAGCCCAAGCCTGACCCACAAGACAACGGGACATTGTGCGAAAACCGCAATCCATTAGGGGTCACTGTTCAATTCGTCGGATCATACACCCTTTGGACGGGGTCAAACGTCCAAGGTGTTCGATGCCCACTCGAGCCGGTGACCACTGCCACAACCAGGAAAGTCTGTGTGTGTGGTTCGTACGCCTCTTCTTGGTTGGTTTAGAATCAGGGTTTTTGACCAAATCCCCAAGGTGAACTACCAGCGGTCAACCAACCCGGTTATCGGCTTTTCATCCTCTCACACTTTGGTGGGAAAACACCTCTGCGAGAAGGCTCGGAGCAAGACTTCCTCAGCAGGATTGGCTATTCGAGATACTTGGTCGTATGGGAGAGCATTTCGCGAGGTGCAAGGGTAGGGTGACCAGCCGCGACCCTAGACACCCACCCAGCCCCGACCATGCAATCCTATCAATAAAGGGGTGTTGAAACATCGAAATAGTGGTTGAACCAAGGATGATGAAGAAACGAAGAAAAATATCGGTTTCAGCCACTGAATACAAAACTGATTATAACTATTTTAGAGGGGGTGGGGGCACTAAATACCTCACACCATCAGATATCCACTAATCTACCTTCCATTTTACAACTGTTCTCATTTGGTTAGAACACTTGCCCCGGGAGAGCTCTCCTGTCCCCATTATTGTACCATGACTGGTTTGACACATAGTCTGCTCGTTCTGCCAATGTAGACTACCGAGCATCCACACTTGAATTATTAGACACAATTAGATTTGGCTTGGGGAGACAGGCATCTCAGTTTCTTTACAACCTTAGTCTTTTGGAATTTTCCATTTTTCCTTCAACTCTCCTTTCGACTTCCCAATCTTGCTTCTACCCCTTCGTCCAAATAGGCAGTCAAAAGACTGCAACCGAAACCGGTTCACGAAGAGGTATGGTTAACGGTTGAACAATCTGAAATGGAAAACTGTGAGGAGACCGTGATTCCTCCACGGAGGATGTTGGTTAGAGTTGAAGTGCCCGATTATCCAGACTGGGGTGCAACAGATCCTACAACTGATTGGTTGGAGACACTAAAGGACATGGCGGAGAAAAGGCAGCAGGGGTGTTCTTGTCATTTTTTATCAAGCCAGAATGCATGGTTAGATTATGTACTCCGTGTGATGATCGCACAGGTTCACTTTTCCTCCTTCGAAATCGGCTCAATCTGTGTGTACATCTTCTGTATTCCCATTTACTTTTTGAGTTTGGCAGCGATCAGTGAATTTCACTGTATCCCGCTGTTCCGTGATGACCAGCACGAAAGTGGCATTTGACTCGAAGAAGACGGCTAATTATTCACTGGTTCTCTCGTTCAGTTGCCTATCTCGCGGATATATTTGGGACGATATCCCAATCACCAACTCTGGGCATTCACACAGATTTCATCACCAGTTTCACGCGCGATAATTCGGTTGTATTGCAGCAACACGACTTCGGAAAGCATCTGGACTTGCATATCAGTCAGCTTGTGTATAGCTTGCTAAAGTGTCACTACAAAGACCAGTTTGTGGGAATTTTATTCACATGTGGGCACAACATCGGAAGTTTGTGAAAATACCACTTGTGAGATAATGTACGCATCACCCGATAGTTGTTTGATCAGATGATTGCTTAACAAACATTTCCTATTATTGCGCACGAACTGTTCTGCGTGGTGTTTGTTTATCTTTGCCGTTCGGGTTTACCCACTTGGTATTAAAATTACTCCCTCGCTCTCTTTGCCCTCCCCTGCTTTTCAGGGATCTGTGCTACACCTCAAAGGTCGCAACGTCGAGGAGAATCAGTTTGTTAAAATGGGTGCCTACCACACGTTAGATTTGAAAATCGACCAGAAGTTCACTATTACCAAATCCGAGTGGGACAGTGTAGCAGTCATGCTGGTCGAACAGGCAGCCGATCCGACGCAACAGGCCGATTTGGCCGCTGTGATAATGCACGAGGGTTTGGCCTATGTGTGCCTGATCACCAGCACGACCACAATTGTGCGAGCCAAGATTGAAATGAATATCCCGCGAAAACGACCGGGTTTGCCGACCGCACAACACGACAAGGGGATGACACGATTTTTTGAGCAAATTATGCAAGCATTGGAGCGTCACATACGATTTGACAGTGAGTGCGCTGTCCCCTTCACGTGGTCTTGCATTAAATGCACCGTATATTTGTATGAAATGGTGTATAAATGATTGGAAGCCCATGCAAAGTTTTATTTAATCTTTTTCACACGTCTGAGACCTGACTGTGTACCAAGCAAATCACTTTACAATAATCCTCATAAAAAGAAAAAGGTTCTATGACTCGCAGCTGAATCTTCTTGGGGAATCCACAACCGAACCAGTCTAAGCCTGGCCCGCGATGCAGCGGGGCGGTATGCGAGAACCGCTGTCCATTGGCTTTCAATTCAAATTCGTTGGATCACACGCCTTTTGGACGGGATCAAACGTCCAAGGTGCCAATACACCTCCCGGTTCGTTTAGAATGAGGCTGTTTAGCCTTTAATTTATGAAAATTACCCACCCAACACGTCACAGATGAAGTGTCCGCTCGTGTGTGCACTGTCGATGGTTCATATGTGCGAAAAAACCTTACAATGCTTTCCGTTGTTACATAAAGCAAACGGACATTGTACGGTGAATCAGTTTGTAAACCGTTTCATTCTCCACGGCTAGAATTATCTTTTTCCATTTTTTTTTAAATTTTGCCATCTGACGCATTGACACATAGACTTGTTGTCTCATTCTCTTTTTTTACCTCAGTTGTAAAATGTATCATTCTGGCCAGTCCGGGATTCGTTCGTGAACAATTTCTTGACTATCTTCTACAAACGGCTGTGAAACAGGAAAAACGGGTATTTTTGGATAATAAGGGGAAATTTGTACTGGTTCATTCATCATCCGGTCACAAACATGCCCTCAAAGAAGTTCTAACAGACAGTGGTATTTTGAACAAGTTAGCCAATACAAAGGCAGCTGCGGAAGTGAACGCCCTGAACGACTTTTATCAGATGTTGAAAGTGGATCAATCTCGTGCCTTTTACGGGTAGGTCCGTTTGTCAACCAGCTGCCCAGAGTATTTGTACAATCGTCGGTTCAATCACTTAACAGTGTCTTTTCATGTGCGATCTCATTGACCTCTACCGTCCCCGCCCGTCCGAACCGGGTTCAGATATAAACACGTCAAAGCGGCTGTCGATGCTATGGCTGTGGACACGCTGCTTGTTTCCGATGCTCTGTTCCGGTCACGCAACTTGGACGAGCGAAAGCGTTACGTCAGTCTGGTTGATGCGGTTCGCGACGACTCCGGAACAGTTCGAATATTCTCCAGTTTGCATGTCTCCGGAGAACGTAAGTTATCCTCGCTCACACCTGCCCCCCCCCCAAGGTAGAATAATTCGTTGCGTTTCCTTTCGTTCTCCTGTAGTTTTGCTTCAGTGATAGCTTTGCAATTGTCTTCATTCGGATTTCTGAAAAATCACCTAAATATTCTTCAGTCCAGCCTTTCCATGCGGGAACTTCTTTCAAGTGGAATTAAACAAAATCGCAAGTTATTCGGAGCGCTCAAAATTAATACCGTACCTTTCCAAAGAGCAAATTCTTACATTCGTTCTATCAGAAAATAAAATCCGATGGGCGAAACAAGCTGTTTTCCGATACCTTCATCAACTGGTCATTTACATTCATTTAGGTGGGGCATTCAATATTGTTCGATCTTGTTTGAGGTGGATCCCGTTACCCAATGTACAAAGCGATGGAACGTGCGCCAACAATTTGATTGGGCTTCCCCTTGATTACGAAGTTCTTTCAATCACTGCGCTCGCTTAGTAACTGGTTGTGGCAGCGATGTCTGTATGTGACGCTTCTGATTGTGGATAATCCAGGTCAAGTAGTTTGATTACAATAGCATCAGTTGTGCACAGAAGGATAAAGCTTACGGATTTAGATGATAACAGTGCAATACGATGAGCGGTTCAGAACGCTTGACTTACGTCCACTTAGTGATTGCTTTTGAGTAGGTGTTAACATATTGCTGTCGTCGTTTCTCCGTGTGCTAGCTTTTATTCTCTTTGACAGTGGTCTTCTTGTCCGACCCATGTAGCTCGCTCCACAGGAGCAAGTAAACAAATAGATGCACATGGATATGGCCTGAGCGGACAATCTATCTTTGAGATGGGAACGAATTACGGGTGATGAGGAGTAACTAATGCATAGTGCTGCTGCAGTATTTGATTTACTGTTCGTGTGACCCAATCCGTCGCCTTGTCGCCCCCGTGTACGGTAATTCCAGGTACAGGTATTTTCTGCTTACTGTTCTGGTTTCTCCGTTGTCGTGGAAGCGACCTGAATAGCTATTCTCTCGTAAGGTGTTTCTTATTTGCTTCATTTCGTCGATGGAGGTTTGCCAAGTGTAGGTTCTCTGTGCTCGTCACGCTAGGCAGCGAACCAAGTTTCTTTTTTGTTTAATTCGTGCGGAACTATGGAAATTAATGTTTTATCCTATCCAAGTTGGTTTCCTATGGACGTTCCGGCGGATAGATCCCCCTGGGGTTCTATGGGTAAAGAGATCTAGAAACGGGATGCAGTCGTTCGTTTCCCTTTCGATAGTCTCGACTTCCATTCCCATTAGTAACGAGTAATATCAGCACTAGTGTATCTGCGGTACATTTTCGAAATCTCGACGATCGTTTAGAGGCTGAAGATACATTGATGTCTTTATCCATAGAACCCCAAGTGGATCTTGGACAGGACAACACATTAATTTCCGTAGTTCCGCACGAATTAAACAAAAAAGAAACTCGGTTCGCTACCTAACGAGACGAGCACAGAGAATCTACACTCGGCAAACCTCCATCGACGAAGTGAAGCAAATAAGAAACACCTTACGAGAGAATAGCTATCCAGGTCGCTTCCCCGACAAAAAACCTACTACTACTCGACTGACAAAACTAAAGCAGGTATTTTCTCTCACACGAAACGTTGAAGACCACACGGCGCGTTCATGAATATATCTATGCAAGATTGCAGCTTGGGTTCGAGACCGCTAGCAAAGGGAAATCCACTACGGACATTGATCTACGGCTACCTGGAACTGTAAGGTCTTGTCTCTGATTCTACAATCGTTTAATCGAGTGAGAGGTTTTTCGACTAAAATGCGTCAGCGACTAGATCTATGTTTATCCCCCTGTTATGATCTTTCATTCGACAAATTCAATACACTTATCTTATACCCTGTCTCTCCCGCTGTCTATTCTAGAGCTTACGCAACTATCTGGTGTCGCAGCAATTCTTCGATTTCCGATTCCCGAACCGGAATCCGATGACTCGGACAGTTCATCCGAAGAACCCGCAGGCGATAACTGATCAGATTGTTTTTTTTTCTGACTTATCTGTTATCGTGATAATTCACTCTCTCCCTGACACTCCTTATTATCGCTGTTCCTTAAAACAATAAATAAAGCACGTTCCGCCTCAGTCATGCTGTTTTTCTATCTGTCGTTTCGGTTGATACAAGAACCATTTCGATTGCCAAGATAGCCATAGCGAACGGCTTTAGCTTTCAAAACATAAACCACGACAGAAAGAAAGATCGGGACAACAAGACACCAGAAATTTTGAAAAA